AATTGGAAGGACGAATGGTATGCAGCGGTGTCAAATGGCACGGACAGGGGCTCGATGAATCCCACACGTCACGTCTCAACTCGATCAGTCCGGAATAAAATTATTTGAGATCAAATAAATGCATTTCCCTTCCCCATGAATTATTCAGAGCCTTGTGAATTCCATAAAACCCGGGTAGCACATAACATTGAATCAGCATCCAATGAATGTCGATTCAATGCTATGGGCTGGCCCCGAACGAGAAAGTTCCGCGAGAACCTCGCGGAGAATCCAATCGATTCTCGCTTGCTCTCTGCGCTGATATTGCAAGATATTTGCATCTTAAATGATAAAATAAATAGAAATGATAAAAATACGTTTCCCCATTTCGCATTTTCGTTGTGCATCGCAGATGCGGGAGAAAAGGACCACGGATGGCAGTTCGTATAAAACTTTTATTTCGTGTGAGGCACAAGAGGAGCGTTTGTGAACGTTTGTTTCAGTGGAAGCCGAGGCAGTGCAGAGCGCAAAAAAAATTCACTCTCCAAAATGTTGTGCATGCGACAGATATAACAAGATCTGGAACCAATTCATCACGCCAGGACAGGTGAAGAGAGAAAACAAAAATTCCATGAGACGGTCATTAAGTTAGACAGTACTTAAGTGGAAGAATCCGACATCCGTGCAGAGCAATTGACAGCCTTAGTTTGAACATCGTGCTATTTAAACATCATTCCGCTCTTGCAGTTCATCATGGAACGGTAACACTTCAGTTCTTTATTGCAAATTGATTTAGTTCACTACATGGAAACGTGGGGAAATCATGAATACACCTGGTGAAAAACAGCAATTCTCAAAAAGGCCATTGGTATTTCTGTGATGGGGAACAATGTCTTCCTCCTCGAGATATGTGAAGCACCCACTAAATCCTGCAAAGACCATCTAAGCGTGAAAGCCGCTACGACAAAAGCACGTGAACTTGGAGTCAACATTGAACACACTTGAAATTTGTGAAGCTGACAGAATTCCCTTCCAGCATTTCGGTCGGGCAAGAGCTTAAAAACGACACTTCGCAGTGCACACCTCAACCCAACACTTCATGAGATAGACAGGAGCAAATTCCATCATCAGCAATATTTGGAGAAAAGCCTCTACCAGAGTAAAGTGAACACTGATTTTTTGGATAAGCTAACTGTGCAAAAAGCACATCATGGAGATAAACATGTTACAAAAGCCAAAGAAGCATGGGATTCATTCTTCTGCAAGTTTGGTGAGGTTGCTCGTGGCATAAGAACCTTAAAGACTCGCAATCGCACTTCTCATCCCGAGCTGCCGCTCGTCTTTCAAACAATGCACTATTGGCCATCACAGAGCAAAAACAGAATGCCATCCCTGAGTCAGCTCTTCACCCCAAAAGAATTATGAAGGAAAACATTGCTTTCATTTCCAGCTTCTCAGATGCAATACTTTCTTGAATGTGGGGCAGGTGATCACGGTTGAAGCTTATGTGCTTCTACTCAAGAGAAAAATGCAGGTATGAAATTCTTTGGAGAAATTACTGCATACTGAACATGTGCAAATCTGTGCAAAAAAAAATCAATGTATGGTGCACTACATTCAAGAAAAGAAAGCCACATATTCAGCTGCCAGATTGAAATGGGGATGATCAGTCCCTATGCAAATCTAAAGGCCTGTTTATCCATACATTGTTCGGTCAATTCCGTGGAGTGGCACCAAAGAACATCTTCCAAGAAAACCCATCTCACCATAAGGATGCAATGAGAGTACATGTTTGGTGCAAAAACCCATCTTAGAGTAGCAAAGCAAAAAAGTTGGAAAAAAAAAAACATGGTCAAGCATACAGTTAGAAAACTATGGAAAAGAACATTTGTAAGGTCTGAACTTGAGTGGTCCTTGTCATACATTTCTGAGAATGCAAGGTGTGGAGCAGGCATCAAAGCAGATACATGTATATAAATTGGCCAAAGAAATGCAACAATGATGATTATATGGTTGAAGGTTGACATGAATGGATGGATAATATCAAGACTCATCATAGGGAAGACACATGCAAGGCAACAACACAATTGATGCATATATACTATATAGTAACAAGTGAGATAGAAATAGAGAAGGCTAGTACAAACTTAGCTTTTTCATCATATACAGTTCATGTGATCCCAATGATCACTAGTACTACAAGAAATATTTCAATATTCTGCATAACATAACATGAGTCAAGAATGCATGTAATGACAAATGGATAAAACGAAATAGATCAGCAATTTTGATTTGTTCCTCTTGAGTAGGCATAGCTCACAAAATTTGATATATAAGGGCCTTTTTAAAATTCTTTGTATAAACAATGCATAGTTTGCAGTAATAGAATATATTTGGAAAGTGATCAAAATGGATATATTCATCCTTTGTGAGGCTCTATGTGATTTGCACAGGAGTCCATGAAGTCCTTTCTTCTCCCCTGCAACTTCATAAGCATACAATTAGCTGACTACAGATTTACCAATGTTAAGTTAATGAGGTTAAGGACAACTGAAGATTAATCAAGGAGTGGTGTGTCACTTCCACATTTTTTGTATAATGTTAGGTTCACATTAGCTCCTGACATGCTAAAGAGATCATGTAAACAGGTGGTACAGAGACAGTTAACAGACTCCATGAAATGTATGGAACTGCTACAGATGCATGTCATGATTTTCAAAAAAAAGTATAAACAGGATGCTTGCCCATGTAGAAAATTAGTTGATTCACCGTATCACTCTCCAATAAAGCCATATTGACAACCCGTCCATGAAAATTTACCTGTAATGTTTGCATTTTTTCACTCTGGCTGGTGTCTGTAGCATTCAGTATATACAGGATCCTTATAAATTTACACTAAGGGTATGAAACTTCATTGCAAATCAATAAATGTCAATCAGGCTCTCTGCTTCCAGTCTTATTTCTTGTTAGCTGCAAATAAGTATCTGGTACATACAAGCCTGAAGTGAAATATTTACATTTACATTCCATTATGCTTTGGAATCACTGGCAAGAAGAAAGAGAATGCTAAAGAGCAAAATGGGGGCTATGAATCCACTTGTGGAAACCAGAATTGCACTACACTTTGGCATATTGAACACTGAGCAGAATATTTCATACTTTGTTATCTGTTTAATGGAGCACCCAGAAAAAAATGCACATTTCATGGTTCTTCACAAGACATTTCTGGGAAGGCATAGCAATTGAATGCTAGACCAATCCACACATGGGATTCTTGTTTGACATTCAATCCATTAAGTTAGTCATAGGCTCTAGGATTGTATTCAAATGAGCATAATTTTCCAGATGCAAGACATAAGCAATGGGGTGGGGGGAAGGGTGTCATGGAGTTGCAATCATAAGCAGTTTGTCATGAAAATCTTCATTTTAAACTGAATCATGCCATATTGCATATGGCAATCCCATCATAAGCACTCAAGCAAAGTACTTATGATGGTATTTAGAACTGGAGGACCATGATTCTTCCTACCATTTTCAATTAACAATGGAAGAAAGCAATGACTTTCATAAGAGAAAAGTAATTCTTTTTCTTCAAGTGTTCAATCAAGCGAAAAATTGAAGACTATAAAACAAAATTGATTCACCACACCTATCACTCTGCTATAAAGCCACCTTGACAACCTGTGATACAGTGAAAGCCAAAACAAAGGCTGCTCAAATCAGAAGGTCTTTCATTATGACTATCAGAGACATTCTAGTAATTCCTGTACCTCTCTTTAGGGTTTGCTTGACCAGAGGGGTGGCTTAAACCAAACTCATTTCACTTCCATGAGATTGAATATATTTCTATTATCAGTCATGGCTAATGTATAAGGCATTTAATGAAAAGTTAAAATGATTTTACACACTTCACCATAACTGACCCTACATTTCAAAAATCCTATGTGTGAATTGGTCAATAATTCAAAGCATGAACTCATCGCATCAAAAGTATTATCAGTTTTCATGGTTGCATTTCATATTAAATTATATTAAGATGAAACAGTGAGACTAGAGTCAAGAAATGCAAGATCTTGAACATCCTGCCAGCATTTCGATTGTTCAACTCCAAATCTTAACTTCTGAAAACTGGGAGCTCAAGCTCCAACATTTCATCAATGTGTCATGACATGTCTAAATTTTAAATCACAGGAAACTAATATCAGTAATACCACAACCACAGGACATGCCCTATAAATAAGGCATTTCTTCATGAAACAGCTTCTTGAGAATGAATGAAAACATGAGCAATGGATGAGGAGGTTGAAAGAAAAAAGCATGATGCAATCCCGGGGAGTTTGCAAGCTCACTGTTTCACATTCACTGCAAACAATTCCATCATTATAGTTGGCCATGTGACAACCTAAAAATTGGACTAAGTCACCAAGTTTCAAGATGTCCTTGCCAATTGCAGCAAGGTACAAAAAAAGAAAACAACAGAAACTTGGAATTTAATGAAAAACATGACAATCCTTCAAGAAGGAAAGAAAAATGCATAATTAAGGATTTGATAGACAGGGACTGTCTATCAAATCCTTAATTATGCATTTTTTAAATCTCAAGTAGGGGGTAATCACTTTCTCCTTGAACAATGCAGAGTAAAAAAATGCACAGGTACTAACTAATGTGAAGACTAACTTGAAAGATAGATTTGAAAAGAGTCAGTAGGGTACAACTGGGCTTGCAATGACATTCTCTTCTGCCTCTTAGTTAACTTGAATAAAAATTAAAAATAATTCTAGTCCTACACTCCAAAGCACCATGAAGGATGATCAGATCATTGGGACACCGGAAACCTGTGTGAAGGCACCTATTCATATTGGTGAGGGGTTCGATACAGATCAAGCATAATGCTGAACTTTTCCATTCATAGGCATGCTATAACTTCCTTCAAAACTGTGCATCAACATATGTAACAATGTTGAATCAATGAGCAATAAAATGTACAAACAAAAGTTTGTCATTCAGACTGGAACATGACAATTTGCCTTTGTACTGCCATATGATAAAGACAGTGGGTGTCAGGGGAACAGGCTGCTGGCTGCAAAGGGAGAATTACTCTTCTGAGTGTTTTTGTTTTGTTTCCTGCCATTTAGATGAAAACAGCTGTAGGGAGGAGATGTTCCTTGGTGCCCACTTGAGGGAGCAGATTCTCTTTATCCAAGAAGAAAAGAGGATAAAAGACCAAGTATCCCCGGATTTTAGTCAAGAGAGTCTTGGCCTGGCCTGGGTCAGTGACTGACATGGGGAGCTTCTGCATGCGAGCCTCCAGCTCTTGCCATGACCGGATGTCATCCGTTGGGAACACAGAGAATACCTGCATAAGAAACATCTCTTGTATTCTGTCCTAAAGTTCCAAGGGCAACATAGGCTAGATACTAAAAGATCAATCAATGCAAGAACCTTTTCAAAGATGGAGGTGTTGGTAGAGGCAATCTTGAGCCAGATTTCCTTGTAGAAGGAATCCGAGATGGGATCCCGGATGTCCACTTTCCGACTCTCTCTCGGATCAAGGAGACCTAGATGCTGCTTGAAGAGTGTCATGCGAAGTGAGCCTGCATATCGTCCTGCCTGGTAGGAATGTCCGTCCATCATGGAAGGTATGAAATCTTCATCCTGAAAATGCAATGACCACAAATATGCACAGCTATTACTCAGTAAATAAGTGCTCTTCATCAACAATCTGCAAGAATTCAAGCCATCACATCATTTGGGGCTTGACACCTAGTCTCTGTCTGGTGGGCTTATGATAACTCATGGAGCTAATCCTCTTCAAAAACTCCTATAATATATACAGTTGAACTCTGAGCTTTATCCGTGCTTACGAGAACATGTCACAAAACAAGAAACTTCCTAGATCAGTGGAGATGACATCAATGAAGCTTTGTTAAAGTATAGAATAGTTCAAGGTCCAAAGAAGTGCGAACATCACGATTAGTGGGTCAATCTTGAAACTGAAGCTAGTGCAGTATGACCATTGTAAACTGGAGTTGTAAAGTTATACAAAATCAATTTTGAAAACAGGAAAATGGAATGCCAATAAAGGCAACTTTGGTTATAACAAACCTAAGTTATAATGACAGTTATAATGTCATCTAAGGGACCAGGTAAAAATTGAGTTCTACTGTAGTTCATTAAAAAAAAAAGGAAAATCTCATTGAATCTGGAGCCCCTTTTGATCTGAAGGTTCATTTCCTCCTTTTTGAGAGTGAGAAATGAAAAATGACACAGGAGTGCCAGAGGTTCTAAACAAACTTGGGGCTGGTAATCTGAGTGAACAAAAGCAACCTCACTTCTTCCCAGGCCACACTACCTTTTTTTTTTAGGGGGGGGGAAAGGAGGAAACTATATGATAATAAACAAGATAGACAAGTCCAGTCTAGTAGTGGGCCTCCTTTCATTTAAGAAAACCCTTATTTTGGCACCTAATTGAAAAAAATGCCATCTCTCTCTGGTCCTCAGCCATAAAAAACATCATTTTTCAGTTACATTTAAAAATCAACCCATGGTGCCCATGAAATTATGAAGGATGGAGGGTTGTGTGCGCTCGGAACCATCTGCCATGGTCAATAGGAAACTGACAGCTCTGGTTGCTGACCCAGCACTGTACCCAAGGCCTGGGCCATATTGTGATCTAGATTCTGAAGGGCTCATGGGTACTCATGCTTTCCCCTAGGTAACCAAATTTCAAATCCAAATTTGCAATAAAAATGCATATTTTGTGAAAATTTGCCACAAAAAATGAACTCAGCCTGTATCTTGTTCATATCTACCTGCTTGCCAATTTTCACATTGGTCAGGACAATATTTGCATAGTTATTGTCAAACAACCAAAGTGTGACACACAGACAGACCAGGACAGGAACATAAGTGGTCTCTTTCAAGACGACTTATGTTCCTGTCCCGTTCCATCCTTCCAGGAAAGAAGGCTCACTAAAAGGGCATGCTTCATTGTTGGCTGGGATATCATGGAAAAGAATTCACCTTGATCAGGCAAGCAACTTCAGAGTCCCGAACTCCCATCATGCTTCGATCATTGATGTTGGCCGATCCACAGATTACGAGCCGATCATCAACTATCATCAGCTTTGAGTGGACATAGATCAGTTCAGTCACCTAGAAAGCAGAAGAAAGGTGTTGGAATAAAATTGAAAATAATAACAAAAATACTTGTCTCAAGTTCCCCATCATAATAATTGGGTTTGCCTCAGAGTTCACAAGAAAAAGATTATTATTGTAAGAGGCAACTGATTCTCTTAAAATGTAAGCCTACTGCTTGAATTTAGACACAGTTTTCATTCTTATGAAGTCCCCTCAGTTGAAGGTTCACTTTCAGGTCAAATGTCCTAATTGAATGCACCATATTAATTTAACTTTAAACTGATCTGGTTTCATAATGGGGATAAGATAATCTCCATCAAATGGATTCCCATAGAAAGCTATTGTGAGATCAGACAAGTGTAAGTTAAAGAGATCTGGTGCATGTCATCTGAAGATTATCTGTGTCAGCTCAGGTTTGTGCTATGTTTGGGTTTTCAGTTGGCAATTATATCAGGTGTGAGCTAATGACTCAATGAGTCTTATCTGACAGATTAGAGTTGAAATCACAAACCAGAGTGCCAAGCAGCTCAGCATGAGTGCGCAGACCATGGAAGCAAATGTACTCAGTGGGATCCTTAATCCCAGCCTCTCGTAATCGCCCAAACAAGGAATGCGGGCCATGTGAGATGGAAGCTGCATTCCAGTGCATGATGGTTTGAATGGCTGTCCCACCTGTGGTTCCCATCTCACCTTCAAAGGCTGGCATCAACGGCAGAACCACAAACACACGGAAAGTTTCTTTCATTCTGAAATGAAGCAAACAGATTCAATCTCTATTAAAACTTTTTCTCATTATAATATTTCTACAGGAATAAATCAAAATTTTTCTTTGAAAATATTCAACCATGAAAAACTTCCTTTCCAGAGCCAACTGAATCAAGAAACATACCTATGTGCTCTAACAATCCGATGGAAGAGGGCATCTCCTATTCGATTTTGTACCTCTCCTTGGTTTGGTCCAGGAGAAATGAAGAATTGATTCTCAATATAAATAAAATATTTGGCTTGATCAATGGCCTCCAAATAGGCCAAATGAATGCTTTGCTCATCAGCTCGCATCCCAGCACTCCATTTGCCGGAGCTTCGCAACACCTACAAAATTTCCCCAAGTCAGGCAATGCTTCAAGTGCCATGACAAGTTCCAATATCATTCCCTCACAATTACACCCCTTTTAAAATTACATCAGGAATACTCACCTGGACAGTAGCAGTGTAAGGAGGAGAGTCAAGTATTGGAGGGATAGAATCATCCACTTCATGATTCTTGGGAATAAGTAAGGGATACCTGTCATTGTTAGCAGCTTTCTCTTTCTGCAAAAATATGAAGGAATCACAATATGAAGGAATGCACTTCTAGACATATCCACTCAAATGCCTTCAAGTTAGAACCAGAACTGATTTCTATGTGCATCAATCAAATGATATAACACATACCTCCAATTGTTCTGGTTCATAAATCACATTAAGTTTCCTTGCACTCAACTGGGCATGCTTGTGGCAATGCTGCATTCAAATCACCATAATTATTTTCTCTGTACTTCTGCCTCCTTCACCCTTGTTTTATGAAAAGAATAGTTAATATAAAATTCACAAAACAACAGTTTTATGTCTATGAAAACTAAGGAGGCAAGAGCCTGACGAAAGAATTCCTTCTCTCTTCTAGAGCCAAATCCAACAGGTCAAGACCATGTTTGACTCATCTCTACACATCCAATACAAATCATTGGTTTCCTGTGTGATGAGGTAAAGCAGATTCCAAATTATAGAGGCCTACTTTAAATGTCCAGAGCAGGGCAGTTACATGTTTGAGCTCCTGAGACAAATCAATTTACATAAGAGTTTACTTTTGCATTATTTTTTATGGGCGTGTAGAAATTTTATCTCAGAACTGCAAAATGAAGTCAGCAGCTAGATAAAAGGATAAAGCAATGACCAACCTTGCATGCATTCCAACGTTGAATGAAATGCCGAGCAACATCCCTTGCACTCTTCCCTTCCACCATCAAAGCAATGTCCTGCCATGGCATGCGGGGAGTTGTTGTTCTGTCTACCAGGTCTATCCAACAGAGTAGCAAATAAACCTTTTTTTTTAGAAGGTAGTTCAATTATTATAAATTAAAAAAAGCTTTTGACACAGAGAACAACATTTTCATGAATTATAAGAGTTTCTCCTTTAAACAGCAGCTAAGGACACATGATACAGAGTCAATATTTCCATGATTGCCTAAAAACTTCTATGCACACATTCTAATTCAAAACATATATTTGTATTTGGTTGGTCTAAGAAGAGGCCTCACCTCTGAATGGTGTATCAAGACTAGCGAAGTCCTTGACAATGAAGTTGCAATAATCTTTGCCAAGCCAGAGCTTTGAGGAGCCCTGAACTCCCATATCCTGCTCACTCTGTGCTTCCTTGTTTCTGCAATATATGAGAAGAATTTGTTGAAGCAAAATTCTCCAGTTCTTTGTGAAGAATATCAGCAGCAGCAATGCCAGACAGATGGACAACTCACAAATTCTCTTCTTGAGACACAGGAATATCAGTTTCATCTTGGACAAGCCTCTTATCACCTTCCTTGTCTTCTTTACCTTCTTCAAGGTCATGCTTTTTGAGACTCGATGCCTTCCCTTCTGCATCCTGCCCCTGACCACTGTCTTCACGATGAAGATGGCGATCTTTCCACTCACGACCCTTCCTTACCATCTCCCGCATTGCATTCGCTGTTCTGTACAATTTACGTGATTGAGGAGGAGTGTCTCCCTTCAACTTTTCCAAATTCTTCAGTTCTTTTGCTTGTTCCTCCTCACTACATAGGAAGAAAATTTAATTTAAGACTTTGAGTTTCATACTCATTATAGTGCAGGGAAAGCACACCGTAATTTCACAAAGTAGTCCATGATACCAAGGCCCAAAACAGATCTTTCACGTAAAAACTTTTGATTGAGAAGTCCAGAGAATTAGCTGAAAAAAACCTTGATCTCAGTGATAAACCAGGGACAAGCTTAAGGTATGGACTAGATCATTCATTAAGCCCAAGTGAGTAAGGAGGAAAGACTTACTGAAAGCCTTGCAATAGAGCATTTATGATGATATATTAGCTCCTGAAACTCTGAATTTCTGCTATGAAGAAAGCTGAATTTTGTTTTCAACCAAGAAGTAAAGAATGCAACTATGTTGTCATGAATGGGAAATGTTCTCTGGGAGTCTAATTATGTGGCAGTCACTGCACCAGAGAATACAGATATACCCATACTTCTGGTGTCATGACATCTGAAAAATATGCCCGTTTTTTTTCACCCCAGATATCACTCTTACCAAATGCTCAAGTGTGCAAGGGTATAATAACTTGAACCATTTCCATAAATATTGCTCAATCTTGCAACTCATATCCAAGATGCTCTAGGTACTTGCATATATGTTTGTCACAGTGGACAGGCTAAGCAACAGTACTTGTATCTACAGGCTGGCTTCAATGGTTCATTTAATAGTTCACTTCAGTTTATTCTGGAACAACCAATTACTGTCACATGAAACCTCTTGTACACATGTGGACTCACCTGACAGGAGTGACAGTCAGGTGTTTGGTGGCTTGAGCAAATGCCACAAGAGACATGGGAATCTTCCCTGCAGGGGTGCTGGATGTGATCATTTCCTTCTTGGGCATGAGGAATTTGGAGTCTGGCTGATCAGACATGGATCCAAGATCTGTCAACCTGCATCATGAGTGTATCCTTAAGATTAAGAGGGTCAAGGAATTAAAAAAAAGAAAGATTTCATTTCATGCAGAAGTTCTATACCTGAATTGGTGGTCATCCCATCTGCCATAGCAGAGGTCAATCCCACCAACAAAAGCATAAGTCTGGTCAATGACCACCAGCTTCTCATGATGGGCCCAATAAAGGACACCACTCTGAAAGTGGTCTGGATGCCTCAGAACCTACAAAATCAATAGGATAGGTTAAATACTGCCTCTGCCACATGCATCAAACATACTGGAATTACAATTGCCTACCTTGATGTTCTCCAGATTCTTGTCTATTAGACAATGCTTACTGTAGAGGCTGTTGATTCCTAATGCCATGGTTACCTCCTTGTAAAGCAACACATACACCTTCACTCCTTGATCAGCCTTGCGTTTGAGGAGAACATCCAGCCGCCATTTGTCCCCCTCATAGATGGGTCGTTTGAGATAGATCTCAGGGCTGAGCCACCAATCGGCAATGAAGATCTCCTCTTTGGCATTCTCCAAGGCATTTGCAACTGCCTCCATGTAAGGCCCTCCATTGATGTACCACCGACATTTAATTCCTGACCGCTCAGGGGCAAAACTGTCATGTGGATTTGGTTTGGTGTAGTCTTTAGCTGTAGAGAATTAACCATGAAATGAGCTGTATGAAAGCTGCCATCTATAGTGATACACTAGACAGTAGCTAACTTAAGTTACAATCTGTCTGACTGTAGAAGATTACACAGCTCTCCAAGAGTAAAACCATACAATATGTGACTGAAGCACATACCTTTAGTTTGTGCTACATTTGTAATGTAGGTCTGCCATTCCCCCATTTTTCTCTTTGTCCAGCAGTTTACCACCATGTTCCTGTTGGAAAATTAGAAGATGTACCACAAGAGGTCTTTTTCTCAAAATGTCTAATATCAGCATTTACAAATCAAACAGATAAAAGAATGACAGACATCAAGCAGATGCAGAAGGAAATCTGTGGAAGTGCAATTAAAAATTGCTGACAGGTGGAAAAAACACTACTTTGTGTGTAATCATTGTATCAACAATTGAGGAGTTCTCTGGAAAAGGGGTGTATGTGCCCATACACCCTTTTTCCATATCCATGTCCATGTGCTGCTTTAGGTGGCTAGTCATAGGATAGGGTGGTCAGCTAGTGGTTAAGATGCATATTCAGCAAAGGAGAAGCAGATTTTCCTCTGCTCTCACTAAATAGTAGGCCAACTGGCAATTTCAATATGGCTGCCTCCACGAATATTCCATTATCACCTGCATGCTGAACGATTTTGGTGGAATTATTGAATATTTAATCTTTTTAAACTGAAAGTGAAAATGAGGAAGAAACCAGACATGAAGGCAGGGAAAGAAAGAGGTGAAGTCATTCAAGCCTCTGGAAGGATGTGAGAAGTTGGAGATATCCATGAAATAGTTGAAGATTCAGATGATGAATACATTATTAATGGATCACTGCTGAGTAATTTGTGAATGAAATGTGGCCTGACTATTCACATTTTTATTGCTATTTTTCAAGGAAGAGTTTATTTGAAATCTGTAGATGCATCTATTGATTTATTATTATTTTTAACTAGAAAGAAGTGGTGAAAGACTCGTAGGAAAAAGTTTCAGCAGTGCAGATAGGGAAAAAGGACATATAAAGGGTAGCGTTTATCTTGAATTACATCTTTCGCACATACACGCTTTTTCTAGAGAACTCCTCAATTACAGGTTCATGCACATGAAGAATAGTGCATACTTTGATTCGTGAAGCACTTTTCAATGGTCTCCTTTCCTGAAAAAAAAGTACCTCTTATAGTCCTGTCTATTCTGTGTCTGCAAGTTTCCAACTTTGCCTTCCAACAATAATTTTTAAAATCTTGATTTCATAATTGTGAAATCTGGTATGGAGGATATGGGCAAAATAAAGTTTCATATCATTTTTGGCAATATTGCATGAAAGTTTTTAGCAGACATAAAAATTGTAACCCTTTCATACCAATAGGTTCCACTAATAACAATGATTTTCCTAACCTCACAAACTTTTCTAGAATAACAGCCATGTCAGTTTCTCAGCATGTAAAATAATGGGAAACTTCAAAGTTTTAGAAAATTTCAAGTAATTTTCAATAATTTCTTTTAAATATTTCTCCTTAACCCTTTCACATATGAACTTTTCAAGCAAAATAAAAATATGCCTTTTTTGGCTTAACATTTAAGGAGGTACTATGCTATAGTAAAAGGGGAGTTCAAGGTCCAATGGCACTTTATTTTCCACAGAAACCACATGAAGAAATACATCCATGAAAATTGGTATAATTTTCAATGCATTTCCCCTTTACACATGCACACTTCTCCCATCGGTGGGATAGAGCTTGTATGCCTTTGGCAAAAAAGTCTCAAGGTTGGTGTTGGAGCCAACATAGGACACAATTCTACACCTCTTCATCTGTCTTCAATTTCTATCCAGACAAATTTTTTTTTTAAAGGTCCTAATGTGTGGGAGTCACTGGCAATCCTATATGTTGTACTCTTCTTTAATCACAGGACCTCTACCTACCTGGCACAACCTTCTACTGTTCTCAAGTCAATGGAACAAGGCCCACTATTGGACAGGGCTTGCACAACATGTTATGTTCTAAGAAGTTAATTGTTATGATTATGGATGATACACTAATTATCATTATAAATATAATGAGGGGAGTTCATGCTCACCCTGAATTGCTGCTTCCTGACTTTGGTACTCCAATGGTAAATTATGTTTGCCAAATGCTTTGATAAGAGTCAGTATCCTAGACACATGAAGAATAGCCCCTTCCATTTACCTGGTGCCATATCTCCAGCAAAATATGGTACCATTGAAATAAGTGAAGAACAGAATGCAATAAGTATCTGCTGTCTGTATTTGAATGTGAAAAAAGTGCATCCTTCTTTTGATGATTGGAATACATCTCCACATCATCAGAGAATGGTCCTGATTTAACAAGGAATTCAGAAAGTGAATACATACAAAAGAGAGAATACTCCACCTACTGGCTTTTGCTTGTTCTCCACAGAAATATCGGGAAGCCTAAAAAAAAGTTCCAAACTTCGTGCAGCTGCAGGTGTGACACTATGCAAAGTATTGTCTTGAAATCTTCAGTGTGTCATACCCAATATAGGTGGGTGGCTTTAAGAAAACTTCAATGAAATTCCTTGCTCTGAAAATGAGTAAGAGATCTTTCTGTGCAAGTTGTCAAATGAGCAAGTGTGTCAGTACATTTGCTGGCATGCTGGTTTGGCAGGCAATCCAAGGAGGACACATCCTCATCAAGCAGTTCTTTCATTGAGTTCAGGTGTGTTCCTTTGTACACTCGCTCTTTTGATACCACACAGGAGAAAAATTGCTACTCATGTAGTTTATAACCAATTTCAAAGAAATTTTTGTTACATTACCTGCAAACATTGCATGTAAAAGCCTGTAAATATCCTGTTGTTAACTCATATAGTACACCATCTGCAGGCATGGAAAGTTCTGAACTTTTTTTGGGCCACCCAGTATAACTTGTATTTATCTGTCTGCAACCATATAATCAGAGTGAGGATGGGTGCCCAAAAATTATTGGTTCTATCTTGTATTGACCAATTCATTCATGCAATTATAATAGGAATGAACTGTACAAGTACTCCTTCAAAATTAGGTATACATGCTGCTTTTCAGGGTTTCATGATACAGAAATTAGTAGAACAACCCCTTTAAGTCTGCAAAAATATTCTATAGAAACTCAATTTGTGGCATGGTGAAACTAGGATAGATGAACAAAACAGACTAACTGAATGCAAGCATACTGGAATCCTGTCTCATGTCAGCTTCTGTTCATCTATAATGGGCTCAAGAGAATGATGTTCTGATATCATGCTATGTTATAAATTTCACAGCATTCATATGTACTATCTTCACTCACCTAGGGCCAAAGAGAGGGCATAGTCCAATGCCCTCCTTCAAAGATAGCATGAAGAGAGAAAAAAGACAATTAGCCTAGCCCTGCTGAGGCACAGTTTAATGATCATTTTCCTAGGATACATGTGAAGCTTGATAGTTTCTAAATTTCAGTTTTTAGAATTTCAGCATAAGAACATAATGTAAGAATAAGAACTGCTGGAAAAATTTGCAGAAGGCTTAGCATACTTCAAGAAATCAGCTTTTCCACTCTGCTCCACTGGTCAATGAAAAATGAATAACTGAGTTTCACTAAATTTGAAATTCCTAGGCAATATGAAATAGCATCACCTTACATAAAACATTATTAGAAGATCAATGCTGACAAATATACAACTTTCATGATTGACACTTGGCCCGTGAATTTAAACCTGAGTTACTGGTACCTGCTACAATGATGATTAAATTATAATTACAGCTTTCTGAAATTGTGCAGGTCCCATCAGCCAGAATTTACAAAAGCCTATGGAAGTGCTTGATGATTCAATACCATATTCCCAAAGCCACAGGTAATAGAAGATACCACAAAGCCAACAAATGTTCTATTACCTTTCTCTAAGGAACAGGTGATAGAATGAAGTGCAGGAAGAGCAATTAAACTCTTAATCATACTTCCATATCTATCTACATGCATACCTATTATTGTTGGTGATGATGAGGCTGTTTGGAAGACCAAGGCTGAGTGTAGCACTGAGGACCTGGAAGCCTGAATCATATAACATCACCTCCCGTATTGTGTCCTCGCCTGGTGTCTTATACATAATGAATGTATCCTTCACAATCAGCCAGCGCTTCCTCCACATATTGCAGCACCCAGCAATGCAAGATACACAACTAGAAAAAGAGGTCCAGCATTGCACATAGCATCAGCATTGAAAGTTGTGCAATTATGGTCAATGGGGACCTCAGAGACCTCAGAAAATTTTCATATTTCACACACAAAAAGTAATACAAGTTCCCCCAATCATTAATTCAAGTCCAAGACAAAGGGCATGTTGTTGAAGTCACTACAAAGACTGAAGGGCAGAAGAGACTGTTTCCAAAATGCTCCCATACTCATTGGAACACTAAATATGGTGGCCTAAAAAGAAAATATCACCTGCTGCTATTAGTTTTCATGTTCAAGAGCCACTCAGCATGCTTCAACTGATATACAGAGGTCAAGTTAACCATCAGCAGATAGCTTCAGTGCATCTTTCAGTATGAATGAAACAACAGCATCTGCTAATTGTCAGGAATTTACATGGCACCCATGCCTGAATGAGAAAAAATATATAATAATCGACAAATTTAATAATGGAAGCATGCTGCTATTTCTGTAAACAGCAACTGAAACTGGAACACTAGGCACATTAACCTACACTTGGCCAAGAAAATCCACAATGAAAAAAGTGTAGTGTTTAAAAATTATCGAATATTTTTCTAGTTCTGGTTCTAATAACATCTAACAGATACACCTATGTAACCTTTCAGCCATCAATATATGGATACCAACAATTTTTTTTTTTCAATCCTTTTGTACACATAACATAACTATGTGTTGAGGGTCACAAACACTACCCTAGTCAAGTAAGGGGTAAATTCAAAGCATGCAATGGTAACAAAAAAAGATCAAGAATGATTGTTCATTTGCAAATATAACATATGCAATTAACTTGCAAACAGGGCTGGGATTCTTAGAGAAGTAATGATGGCAGTCAATTTTCTTTTCTTTTTCTCTCACTCTTATTTCACAGGCATTTTAGCATTCCATTTCACTTCCAGAGAAATCAATTCAAATTCTCATGAGTTGGAATTTGGCCAAAAATGCTGCAAACATGATACCATGTGCATTTTCCCATCTGCATTAAGTATTGGCTGCCAATTTTTTGCTATAAAAGGGGCAAAAAATCAAGGCAGAATATGAACTAATATAAGTGTGCTTAGCCTGCTTAGTCACTTGCCATAGTATCATCTTCATGTCTTGCTATTTAAATACCTAGCATATTTTATGCACTTAAAAAAAAATCCATGCATATTTTCCTACTCTGCAGTGTATATATACTCCAGTTTTTCATGGGAAAATCACTAGCTCTATTGATTAAGAAAAATAGGCTCAAGATTCTTTCCAGCAGATATTCATCTTCAGCTTTTATCTTGCTCTACTAAGCCTAGGTCTATTGAAGTCTTTTGACTTGGCTTCAGCACGAAAAATACTTGCTATAAATGGTGGAAAAAATTATTGCTATAAATTGGAACCTGTAAGGTTTCAATTACTGCTAGTATAGGTATACACCAATAACATTTAGCACATATGACCAATAGCACCTATATGACTGAATTCACAGATACTCAAAGACACCATCACCTAGCAGCAAGCTCATGGATAGTTTGTTACTTCAGCAACACTACAATACATGATGCACTCCAAGAAAATGAAAATCATTTTGCAGGAAACAATTGAATAAAAAATCAACAACTGACTGGTTTTGGGCTTCAGATGGCCTATTTGCATTAGACATGATTGTCCAAACTGACTGAAGTGATTTAGAAAACAGAAAATAAATTATAGTGATGCAGCTCTGGAAAAACATTCCAACTTGAACCAGCAAGGCAACTTTTTTTTTCTCCTCCTTTTCCTACCCCACAGCTGAAAATGCAGCTCCTACAGAAATATGTCTCTGTAAAAACATGTTTACAGTATTATGTAGGACTTTGTTAACTTACAAGAGAGGTGGGTGAATATTTGAAAGAAACTTGCTCTTTGTTTTTTGCCTGTAAAACTACAAAATAATTCACCTCTGCCAAGTGGGACTTTTGCAGGCATGCATTGAAGATATATCAGGTCACTAACTTAAGCATTTTTTCTTTGCTGTACTTCATATGATAAAGGGAATGACTGCTCGCTATGCCAAATTAGGGTTTTAAAATACCATATTAATGCTGAATAATGGCTTAGCAGCATTCCCCTGAATTTGTATCAATAACACCAAGCAACTCCGAGCACAAAATTAGAAGAAATTGTACTAAGTGAACATACCCTCCATACCATGATGTATTGGACCTCGTCCTCTCTCCTTGTCTCTTGAGAAGTTCTCCCTCTTTCCCTTTTGAACCAACTTCATCTAAGAATGAGTATCTACTAACTTCAAGGAACTCCCTCTGCAAGGATACAAATTTGCAATTGTTCTTTTCAGGAATTCCAAGGCATCTCACATAGCATGTGCACGAACGATGACAATAAGCAACTCCTATTCACAATGATTAATTTTCTTAGTGACTGATTCTTGATGCAAGCAAGTCCTGATTTAGTCTCATCAGTGCCAAATGTGTGAACTGACTATATATTTTCAATTTCGAGAGAAAAAAAAGTCAGAATCATGCAAAGTTCTCAATATCCCATTATGATTTTTTACATATGTTCCAGATGTTCAGCAAAGTATGTGACCAAAATTCGATGGAAATCTCAGAGGATCTATTTTTGGTAAATGAGGTCAAATTTTAGTGCATATATTTTATGACATGTTAGGCTCTGAGATAATAATGAGTATGATATCATCAGCAAGGGCAGGAGCAGACTTTTCAAAAGAGCTATAAAGCATCTCCCCAGTTAAACTAGGAAGAAGTTATCACCATATTGAAGGATAGAGGTGCCACTGGGTTAAAAAAACAGAAAAAAAAAGACATTTTTTCATAACCTTCAGATATAATTGACTAAAGATTAAAAATATGTTGGGTATCTCACTTTCTCTATACAGGGTGTTTGTACTTGAATGCAACATAAGGAAACCTTTTCCACCTGTTTGTGGAGTTCAGTGAGTGCCTTACAGCTCACTGGGTTGCATATCTATACAGATGAAAACAAACGTTGATGTTTCCTCACAGGTCTGCAACAAAATTTTTCTATGTTGCATTTAAGTACAAACAACCTGCAATATGGAGCATTGATACAATTGTCATCAAAATCTGAGAAAGTCATATTTTCCAGTGTGTTGATTTGATGTAGAATGTCCCAATACCTCGTTTTATTTCACAAAATTTTGCCATAGCTAATAAATCCTTCATATTACCATTGAAAGAAAGTTCAAGGAGAGGCATGTTGGCAAGCTACCAAGCCCATGGGCTTAAAATATCCTACCAAGGACACATTTTGTAGCACTTTTGAAAAGTTGGCTTGTCAGCAGAAATTTAAAAAAAGTAGTCAGACAATAAAAGTGCTAAATATTGAGGATGTAACTTCTACCATCTTCTCATGATTTCTGTACAGGCCATGGGCAAGGACTTGGTTCAGGTATGTCTCCAACTCCTTTGTCCGAGCTTCAATCTGGTCTTGAGGCACAAGGTAATCAGGTTTAGCAGGAAATTCAGGCAGGGCTTTCCAGTGCTCTCCTCCCATCTCTGTGAGCACTTCCCTTGCCAACCTCCTGGTTGCTCGGTGAGTTCTAGTTGGCAGGGGAATGGCCAATCCCATCCTGCAAAGTTAGCACATGGCATCATCAGTCTTCAAGGCCTTTTTGATAATTGCTCAGAAAAACATAGATCTTTCAAGCTAGGGTAACACTCCTTCATATCAGAGCATATTTGCCTAAAAATCTACAAGGAAAATCCATCCTTCCCGTATTTCATTGCCCAGTAAAAATTACAATGAAGCAATGAATACATTAAAACAATGACTGTGATCCATGAAAACACTTAAAATCATGCACATGGAAAAGTGCAGGCAATAATTGGAGAAAATTACTAGCCACAGGGTTGTTAAAATCTGGGTAGGCCAAATGGCATGTCTAAGGCACATGTCATGAATATAAAATCCAAAAAGGAATAGGCAGAGATAGTGTAAAAATTAAGCATATGGAAAGTGCAGACTGAACTGTATTGAGTATGTAATTCCTTCATTAAAATCTCTTTATAAATGCTACTATTTTCAAGGGATGAGCTTTTCAAAAGTAAAAATATTTCATCAAAATACAAATGAGACTGTCAAAAATATCACTCTCTCTTACATACTACTGAATAGCAGTGATACTGATATGAAGGACAAGATGACTGCCATGCATACTGCACAGTTTGAGCTTCATGAAAGAATGGCACATTTGTCTGGTCACACAGTCAACAGGTGGCAGAAACAATGAACAGGTGATATCTGTAAATGATGGTGTGAATGAAAGTCATGAGAACGTGAGATCTATGTTCTTTTGCATTGAAAGAGAAACATCAAAGTCTGCTGATGGGAAGCTAGTACGCTGATATGCTCCCAGTCACTACATACATGCATAAACCAAGACTCAAACATACTGTTTGACTCTTGCGTCAACCTATGGATTTGCAATGTTAAACCGAACATGTGCTCAGGTCTGTCTTACAACATAATCAATCCAAACTGGTGGGATATTATCCTACCATTAACATATTTCTAATATAACTCTTATACTAATTTGTGTGTGAACAGGTAGTTCTATGGAAAAATTTTCCTGAAGATGCTCTACAACTGAAACACAACTGTTTAATATCCAAAATCTGAGCACACTAAGATTTCCCACTCGTACTTCTTCTTGCTATAGAAAATCATAGGAAATCAGACCCACTGCATCTTTGATATAATAGGGAAACTACAGCAAGATAATTCAATTGCCTAAGAGGACGTTGAACAAGCAGTCAATACTTTTAGCCTAAGTGTTCGAGTTAAGTTGCACATTCTGGAAGCGTTTGAGTTTCGTTGTTTTCCCCTATGGTCAATTTGAAAATATGTCACCCTCTTTATAGCATCAAAATCTCAGCTACAACAAACAGCAATGTTACATCAAGTGTTGACTGTACAAAAGTACTCATGAATAATTGGGAAAACTGAAAATTATCATTGTAGGCACGTACTTATAAAGTTGAAGTTCCTTATGCAAGCTGCTGAAGTGCTTGTACCTTCTCCAAACCTTCCAAGAAAACGGGCCATGTTCCAATGCCACCTCATATCTATCATTGAAAGAATTCAGAATTTCCATATAATCCCAGATAGATTCCATAGGATCTGCATATGATTGCAATGATGCCCACTTACAGATTGGCATTCAAGAAATGGGAGCCAATATCTCGTTTGAAGAGGGTCACTTTGCAAACTGCAGGGACACCAGGGATGAAATACTGCTTTTCCACATCAGGCTGGCTTGGCAAGTATATGCTTGCAAAGGGGATCTTTGCTGCTGCCATCTTTTGGCTTTCTGGTGGAGAGGAATTTAATAATCATGATAGAAGATGATACTTGTCATGGAGAGCAGCATGCAAGAAACAAGAAACCTTAGACTTTGGACAAACAATAACTCTCAGTTTCCAATGATATATAAACTTCTTCAGGAAGTATACCTACTTTGTTGCTTAAGGCATTCATCCAAGAGTGTCAATTACTTTGCAGGAGGAATGCACTGGTTTCATGATCAGAAGAAACGAGCTATGTGTTATAATTTGCACAAGATTTACAGTTGCAACTATGGATACAATTTTCTGAAACTGCATAGAACTGTTTCTTGCAACTCTGCATTTCTGCTTTTCTGATCTCTGGAGCAACTTCTTAGCTAGAATCAACCAGTACACTAACCAGAACAGGCAAGCTTCAAGCAATAGTAACTTAGCATGTCAACAAGTAGTTCTAACGTATGTGCAAAATTGGTTAGAATAATATTTACTTGAGGAGCTGCTTTTCGTGCATTCTCTCTGTTTTTCATACTTGTTTTGAGTGATTGAACTTTCTTATGTAATACAAAAAGCCATGAATAATCACCAATAAATCAACATTTGCAAAACGAAAGCTGTCAAGTCCTAGTCTAGCTAGATGTATAACTATATTTTTTAGCTTTTAAAATTCTGATTTCAGCTTTGCATGATAAGAAGCTAATGACTCTTGTTGGTGACAGCAAAGAACAGCATGTGGTTGACGGCATCTGCACAAATGCCTACCATGAGGTAATATTGAATAGATGCAGGAGTGACATTTGTCACCCCAAATGGATTGTGCAGATCATTCCCACTTCCATTGCCTAGCAGTCATTGAAATTTGATTAATTGGCAAGTTTTCTCATTAACATTCATTCCACATGCTTCAAACTCTAATTGATTTCATAGTGAGCCACTATGAGCTTGTGTACAGTATTTTATCAAAATCACTCAACTCCAGTTTGGTCATGCTTTTTTTTGGAGATGAGTATTTATTCTGCTGATGCATCAAAGGTTTAAACTAGGGCTGTCACGATAGCTGTTTTCAGAACATCGATGCATCGACCTGAACTATCGATAGTGTATCGATGCATCGGACCAAAAACAAAGGCTCCGGGAAGCAGGTGGCGGTCAGGTATCCCGGCTGATAAACCATATGAGGGAAAAAAGGCATTCTTTTGCCCCTCAGGATCCATGAATATGAATTTATTCACTCTCAGCTGCCATCATAACTGAAAGGAAACTAAGTTTGTTGACATTCTCCGGGAGCAAAGAGCAGCGCAACTTTGTAGCAATATTTCCCGTTCGGGAGAAGAGACGTTCACTGGGCACAGTCTTTTCACACACATAGACAATAATGTTAGGGAACAAAACTGCATGAAAAGATTGCTAGGGCTTTTGTATTTATATAGTTAAAAATATGGGACAAAAATGGACAGGACTTTCTGGTCACCCTGTATTTCCTCATCTCAGGTAATGCAAACACACGTCTTTGCTATTCGTGTTCTGGGGTGTGTGAAACTCCACCGAACTAACGCCAGGTTAACTTAAGGGGACGGTCAATTATACCCTCGAAGCCACTCCCGAGTATTCAGGAGGCGCAACAACCTGTTTGGTGAACCGAACGTAACTGACGTGCTCTTCCTATGTGGAGCCTTGGAACGACCTGTCCCGATCGAACTTGAAGAGGATATTGGAGCCTCAGGGTATGAGGAAATCGTGTTGCCCTAATGGTCACTGAGAACCTCCTCTAGACCTCTAAACCTCCTCTACCTCCATTTCCTTTTTGCTTCTGCTCAGGGAGGTGCCTTTCTTCCTCAAAGTATGACGTTTTCACAGACACATCCAGAGAACAAACACTCGAGAACTATGACAGTATCCCTCATTTAAAAAAAAAACAACAGGACAAGTAGGTACCGATACGAAAGCAGAAGCAGCCCACACGATAAGTCCACAATAGCCAAAGTAAACGGCAGCTAATTTCATTTTTTCAACGCAACATCGCAAGCAATGAATGCACTTACCTCGCTGTGCAAGCTCACATCGATCTCTTAGCCAGACTATCTCTTTCAAAAATCCATCTAATGGGGTGACCCAGAGAGGAGAGAATAATAGAAATCGATTGAAATTCAAATTAGATTCTATTTTCTCTGCAACCGCGAGAGATGGAGTTTCAAATGTGCTGGAGTAATTTTATGTTGAGAAGGCTCAGGGGCTAAGAGACTAAGAGGCTCGCCTAATTTCGTTCTTCCAGATGCTCTCGAGAGGAGTACGAGGAGGTGGAGTTTCACAAAGGGTCGAAGGACGGGAATAGGCGCTACCAAGCCTATTAATTATCGATTTTTATTTAAATGAAGCCCAGTATTCTTATATATTCTTTCGCATGGGGTACCACAATACTGGCGTTAGTGCCAGGAAAAAGCAAATCATCATTGCCATGGCAATGTTACAGGGAATGTCGTCACGTTATATATCAACTGCTGAGAAATGCAGAGGCACAAATTTAACCGTGCTCTATATAAGAAAAGTACCCATTTTCTACCTCCACTCATCAACATTTGAAGCAATTACTTCACGCTTAACTAGCTTTCCTACGAGAGCGATAAGGGCGACCTGGCAGCCGGAAGCTCACCAACCAATATGCTTATCTCTTCTGAGAATTACAAGGGGATATCGACGCTTGTTGCACCTTTTTGAGCGGTGACGTCGTAATCATGTCACGTTTTAGTCGCGCAATCGCACGATCCCACTTGAAGACGTGGAAAGTCCGGCGAGCAAAGAAACACACTCGGCATGTAGCTCCTTGTTCAATGTGATGTGATCGAGCCCCATGGATGAATAATGATTGCATATCATCCCTGGTACTAGGCAGTATGGAATATTTCAGTGATTGAACATTATTTTCGTTCTGGTCCTGTTGGCACCGCCGGACACGGTCAGTTTCTTGTGCCAGTTTGGCCTCAGGTCTATCCCTCGCAATACTATAATTTAAAACATGAATTTTACGAGGATGAGACTGCACCGTGTTGTTTTACTAGATTGAGAATGTTCTATGTGGTATTGAATTATGCACCATTTTTTGCGGTATCCTGGTGTTAACTCATCCGCATTAACAGGTTGACCGCCACGTTCACATTGACCTGGTGACTTTACTATGCCAAAGTCATTTTTTAATCCCTAGGAGACTCCTTAATAACATACTTTGATCATCCCATGCTTTTTGCAATTTTAAGTGGTCTTTTGCAGACTTTTTAGTGAGGCGCACCGGTGCGTCTCATGGCGTGGGGAATACCATCAGGTTTACCACTCCACGAGGGCCACCAGTGGGCCTCACAAGTTTTAACGCATCATGCTGCCATTCTCAAAGTTTATCTCGTTTGAATTGAATTTCGTGCGCGCGGCGCCTCTGACGCTGCACGGTTCGTATTTTCCTGCGACGGGGTAACGGTGAATTTCCCCTCCGGTTGGCGGTCCGAGTGCGGCCCTAGGAAATGGTCCGCCGCAACCTTACTTAGGATAAACTGCTACACCTCTGAAGTGAATCAATTGGTCCAAGATACTTAAATATATAATTTTTTTGTCTAATACTCGAGTCAGTTAAAGGAAAACAAAATAATGTTAAGGCAGCGTTTACTGGGAATTACTCTCCACGGGCATTGCGATATGAATTCCATGCTCCACTTGATTTTTCTCGACACAGTTGTAGAACAACATTGGTATCTGGTGGTATTTGTCTGAAATTCCTTGATGGTTCCAGCCAAAATTCCAGTGTATTCAGTCGGATTTCAGGCAATTGTCTGAACTTTGACCGAAGCGGGAGGCCCACTCCTCCATGCACCCAGTCACATTTGGGACAAATTGCCTACATTATTTTGGAACAAAGCTCTTCTCTGTTTTCACGCTAGGATTTCAATAATATACGAGCGCACGTATTACTGAATTAAAATACTTTCTCTCCTACCAAGTTTTAAACTCCTTTTTCCACCAAAGAACTTGGGATAATGAGAAACAGCGAATTCATGTTGGAGATGGTCAAAGATCCATTTCCTTCCAGGTTGGATTTATTAATTTGGCTGTCTGCTATATCGATGGCATTTAGTAAAGGGAGATCGGGTATGTTCTCGCATTAACTATTTCGCCCTAGCACAGTAGTATAGGGAAAATGCCATTCAGGTGGAACACGGCTCTATAGCAACAGTTTCTCCGTAAGTGAGATTTCAAAATTAAAACGAATCTCGTTGACTGATTCTATGGCGCCGTCGTCCAAGTGGTATATCCAGCTCCTCAACGGCATCTTCATGGTGTGTGGTCGTCAAAATCGTCCATACCAGGTTTCATCACGTTTCACGATTGAGGCTAAAGAACGGTTTCCTACAGCAGTGGATCTCAACCGGTGTGTCGCGGCACAATGAACATGTGCATATTCTATGGGAGTATAAAGGGAGGTTGAGAACCACGATGCTAATGGGCGAGACGAAGATCCATGTGAACATTCCTCTGGTCTTCGGTCGGGCACTCATACCCGCTTGGCACACACCTGGAGGCGACCTCGGACGATGATGTGTACAGACTAGGGCTGTCACGATAGCTGTTTTCAGAACATCGATGCATCGGACCGAAAACAAAGGCTCCGGGAAACAGGTGGCGGACAGGTATCCCGGCTGATAAACCATATGAGGGAAATAAAGCATTATTTTGCCCCTCGGGATCCATGAATATGAATTTATTCACTCTCAGCTGCCATCATAACTGAAAGGAAACGAAGTTTGTTGACATTCTCCGGGAGCAAAGAGCAGCGCAACTTTGTAGCAATATTTCCCGTTCGGGAGAAGAGGCGTTCACTGGGCACAGGCGTCGCAGGAATGGCCAGGTATTTCCTAGCCATTTGCGCGAGCTTTGAGTATCTTCTAGCGTTCTCTCTCCAGAATTCCAATGGGTTGATTTCCCCATTCCTGCTGGCATCTGCCTCGTACAATCCCACTTCGTCGATCGTTGTTTGTTTATTCTCGTTCGAGGCTTTCATATGGCTGAGTAGTTTCATGAGCCCTTCAGATTACATCATTTTAGGTGGTGGAGGATTTGCATATCCAGGATCGTCGACGAGTTCTCCTTCCATGTCGCAGGAAGGTTCCAAGTGAAATGTTTGATGAGGAGATACACTCGTGGTCCATCAAGTAAATCTCCTTTCGCACGCGAGAAGTCACATCTTGAGTGATGACAGGAGATTCTACGAGATAATATCTAGAATTGAAACTATTTCCATTCGCGAGAATAAACAGCAACTAGGTAAAATTAATTCACCAATGAAGCGAGGATCCAAGAAACAAGCGAACTCCAAAATGTCCCGTTCCTCTGGGTGATTGTACCTGTCAATGAGATTTTTCAATGCCAGTCGCTTGAAATTATGAACAATCGGTGTGTCGTCCTCTTTCCTCTTCAGGTATACTTCTTGGGTACCAAATTATTAGTATGAAAGAAAAAAGCTTAACTATCATCGAGTCAATGTCGGACGCTTACCTTTATTTCATAGAGCAATGGGAGTAAGGAAAGTTTCTGCTGTCAGTGCCTGGAGGGACTTAACATAGGAGCCAATGCCTGCAATTACGAAAAGGAAGGAAAAACAGGATTTCATGAACTGCAGTCGAGGGGCTCTTCTGAAAGACTTACATCGCGAAGCTCTTGCGCTTGATACCAGTCTTCCAGATTGAAGCCCAGATCACGTACTTCCTTCTTCTTGTGCGTGAATAGGACATCAATTGCACGTCGGAGCTCTAGTATGCGGACAAGCATGTCGTAGGTCGAGGTCCATCTCGTGGGCACATCTTGTATCAATTCATGAGAAGGGCACTGCTTTTCTTCCCTAACCATGCGAAGCACAGACGTGTCAGTGGCACTATGCTTGAAGTGCCCAACGAGTTTTCTGCATTTCTTTAGCATAAGGGACACCCTAGCGATCTGTTGGTCAGTTCCAGCTTTCAAAGCCAAATTAATGTTGTGCCCAAAGCAAGAGAGATTAGGAAGTCCCAACTGACAGCAAGCATTCATTATATTCTTGGCATTGTCCGTGACACAGCACATCACTTTCAGGTTCACATTCCAACTCTCAAGCAGTTCTTGGGGTTTGGCTTCTATTGTATCGGCAGAATGACTTTCTCCTACTGGCATCGGAAAAGTCCCCAACACAACATGCTTCAGCTCCCAATCCGAGGAAATGAAGTGAGCCGTGAGAGAAAGATAAGAATCATTGGCCAAAGACGTCCATACAAGGGATTATGCAAAAGTCCGCGGCAACTATTTTTTCCCTTCCGCTCATCGTGATGATTATATTTTTCCCTTTGTTCCTTCATTATTCAGGAGTGTAAGGAAAAATCTCCGGAAAAATTGAAGTGATGGAGACGCGGAAACGGAAATCGGATGAAGGTGAAGCGGTTGAATTTCCGCCGCCGGTCGTGGAGGAAATCCGGTACGCGATTTTTTTTTCCGTCGTGGGAAGAAGGGAAGCGAGATTCTTCGGGAGCTTCAAGCGACTTACGGCGAACATGCTCCAGGCAAGACGATGGTCAACAAGTGGATTTCGCGATTTCAAAGTGGAAATTTCAGCGTCCACGACGATCCACGTGAGGGACGCCCTCGAAGCTCAACGGACGACCAAAATGTGGGGCAGTGAAGGCGGCGATCGACAACGATGGCAGAATCACCCAAGAAAAGCTCGGGGCAATGCTGAAAATCGGCCAGGAAGCTGTCTCAAGGATCCTGAATCGACTTGGTTACACCAAGAAGTCTGCAAGATGGGTCCCCAAGCTTTTGACGCCTGAACTCCTTCTGTTCATGGCTCGAGTCAAGTTCGCCAAGGACTTTCTGGAAAAATTCCGGAATGGAGAATCACCCGATTTCAAGAAAATCACCACTGGAGATGAAGCCTGGTTCTACAGTACAAAAGTGAACCAGAAACCAAGAAACAGTCCATGGTGTGGTCTGCGAAAGAGGCGGTGCCCGCCATCCGCCAGAAGACCGCCACCAAGACCATGTTCGCCATCTTCAACTTCGACGGAATCGTAGCGTCCGTTCCACTCGAAAAAGGACAAACGATGACATCTGCAGTGTACACGACGAAGTGCCTGCCCGAAGTTCTCAAAAACATCCGCAGAGGTCGCCCCAAGTCCGTCCTGCGCAAGAACTTTCTGCATCACGACAACGCCCCGCGCACAAAGCGAAGAACACGATCGAGTTCCTGGCCGCCTCCGGCATCAACGTCTTGAAGCCGCCCCCTTACTCCCCGGACCTGGCCCCCTGCGATTTTTGGCTCTTTCTAAAGCTGAAGGAACCTCTCCATGGGAAAGTCTTCGAAACCGAGGAAGAAATCGCCGTCTCAGTCTAGGAGCAGCTGGATCATTTGGAGAAGGCCGATTTTGAAATCTGCTTCCATCGCTGGATTCACCGCCTCCAGAAATGCATCAATATCGGCGGGGAATATGTTGAGAAGTGCTGAATTTTTTTTTCTGTTTGGGATCATGAATAAACATGCTTCATGGAAAAAATATGAAAAAAAAATCTGTCGATATTATTTCTTTGAGTTGTCGCGGACTTTTGCATACTCCCTCGTATAGACTGAAGAAGTGTAGGAAATGGGTAGGGAGCCCGGGGAGCCGAAAGATGCGGCGACATATTGGGTCATGCAGGTCCGAGCTTCGATGTAGTCATAAGTGAAGTAGTTATAGCGCTTGAATCGTGGCGGTGGCTGATGTGTACACCCTTTGGTACCGGCGTCCAAATGGCCCATGTACTCCCATGAACCGAATTCCGCAAGGATATGGTAGGCCGTAGGCCAGGTGCAACTCGATTGGATTAGTTCCTCATAAAAAATCCTCCAATTTTTTATGTTACGATGTATTGTCAAATTCTGTCGTCGCTGTCTCCTCGGAAACCGAATTCTTGATTAGATGAAATATCATCAAGGCGGTATCAAGCTGGGTGTTTATGTAGGCCATGAAGGGCTTGGTGTAGAAGTGACGTGACGACACTGGTTACATATATTCCAACTAAGTTTGAACTCTAATGACTGCTGAAATAAGTCCTGTTTTCTTAATTAATAATGCAGAAGTGTTGTACTGGGACAGTCTTGATAGTGCATGGTTATCATTTACAGTGTTTCCAATTTGAATGTTTTTTTCATCATTACATGACTACCTGAGTATGGTGAATGCCCTTGACACGTATTGAAGATACGTACATATCAAAAGAATGGACAGACTCACGTGAAACAACTTCGCCTGCATCAGCATTACTTATATGTTAATTAAAAATACGCTTCAGTATGGCATCAATGGTTCAACAAAGATTCAATGTTGACTTGATGTTGAAGACAGCAATATTGCGAGAAAGTTGTCCGGTGAACGTTACATCAACCGACGTCTTGCGAGACATCTAGCGAGACATGCGAACAAACAAGATTTTCTGACTGCGAAATGTGATGGGGACTACTTGCTCAACGTGGTTAGTTACTATATATATGCAATTAATACGCGTCTCTAGTACTTTTGGAGCAGTACTTGATATGTTCTCCACAAACGACGCAGGTAAAGGTATTTGACTTGCTGGATATATTCAACCAAAGTGGCACCCAAACCGAACTTGACCCTGGATAATTCTGAGGAGGGTGATGGACACAAAGAGTTTGCGAGGTCATATTACTCCACGAGACCACGGCGCCCTGTCTTCGAGGATGAATCCAAATCATGATCACTGCCGAAGGTTACATGGAGTGAGGATTACCACTCATTATTGATACATCATCGTAATCCCGCCGGTGTACTCCTGCTTCCAGAGGAACAGGATGCCTCTTTCTCATCTCAGTATTAGGTTCGCATTGTCCTTGGATCGGGGTATCTTAAAGAGGTAGATTCGGAGAATGGAGATAGTGTCCAAAATATATTAAAATAATACTTCAGCCATGAAACGGCGCATAGGCTCGAAATACTCCGAAAGTTTAGACCTGTCTTATAAACGTTGAATCATCGTGGATTCAGCATGAATTCAATGTTGAGGAAAATGAAATTTTAATATGGAGTCAACGTTGATATGAACATGTTGAATCAACTTTGCAATGTTGCTTTCAAACATTGAATCAATGTTGATATATTGTTGATAGTAATGTTGAATCAATTGTTAATAAAAATGAACTTCAATATAGAATCAATGTTGACAGGCAATGTGGTCTCAACGTTAGCTGCTTGTACGAAATAACGTTGAATCAACGTTGATTCACCCCGAGTGTGCTCTTTGGATCGCTGCCATTCGTAGAACATATTTCCTGTTAATACGATGTGGATAACTCCACGTAGAAACAACCCATTCGGCACAACGTTTTCAACATTTAGGATATACTGAAACGTTGAGACTTGGTCGAAGTTAAAAAATTTGACTAAAAATGAAGTCGATGAAATGTAATCAACCATATTATAAATTAGTATTATTATATATCTATTAGTATTACCTCTCCATTTTCAATTAGTAATTAACTCTATTTTCAGCATTTGGTGACTACCCGTGAAATAGGGAAGTCATTCAGAGGCTATTAGTAGCAAATTCGTTTTTCATCGTATTATCAATTTTATTTCAACTTGGAGTTATCCACATCATACCAACAGAAAATAGGTTCGATTAATCGACGCGAGATGGCACCTAACCACCGCTTCGGCGATTCCTACCCTGATGAATTGAAATAAACAGTGCCCTGCAATTGGTATGCAGTACCCGATCTTTAACCATTTACAACATAAGGGAAGGTATAGGATTTTCTAGATAGACCTATTTAACGTGGCAACCCGGCAGAAGGAGACTCAAAGTACTTCTGGCCAGTGGGTCCGAGGAGACATGTCATATTTTCCTAAAGCTCCATATGGCATGCGTGCTGACTCGGGCTCTTCCGTAGAGAATTGAGCATGAAAACATGCCGGGGGGGTCGCTTCCCTCTACTGGACAGAAAGAGTTGAGTCTGTAAGCACTCAATTCGAACACTGTTGC